GGGATTAGAGACAAAAAAAGCCGGGTCGGAAACGGCAGAGCCTTTAATTCTCATAAACGGACTCCTTCAGCACAAAGGCATCAGATCCGGAGCAGAGGTACACGGGAGAATCAAGGTTAGAAAGCTTACCGGAATCAGAATCATAAGTGCCAATACGGTACAAAGAATAATCAGAAGGGGAAAAAGCGATAATCCCCTGACTATTGGAGCAGGCAAAAAGGAAATTGCGCTTGGCAGACTCATCGTTAATGTCTTCAGTAGGAAGCATCCACCCAGTTTTAGAATCACGAACGGCATAAAGGGATTTAAGCATCAGTAATATCCTCCAATATAGTTTTAAGACCGCGCAACTGCACCTCAAGAGATACAAGCGACTGAATAGTTAGGAGCTGAGAGTCAGAAAGATCCTCAACGAAAATCTCAAGGAAATCATACAAAGAATCAGACTTCAAAAACGGATACCTCCTCTATAAGCGGTAGTACCAAGGTTGACAGACTTCACACTGGAAGCGGTTCGGGTGAAAACCTTCTTATCCTTATGCTGTTTGACCGGAGCACGCACTAAAAATCACCTCTCTTAAGTAGATCAACTTTTTCAAGCTGCTTACGCTGCTTAAGGTTATTATACCATATAAGGTCAAGGTCAGTGTCAGAAAGCTCAAGAAGATCCTTATCAGATCCAAACTTTCGGCGTTCTTCCTTCAATCGTTGGAAAAGAGCCGGATCAGAATCAGATAAATGGTCAAAAACGTAATGAGGGATCCTAACGCGTTTAATTCCATCGGAACCAGGCACATCCTTTCCATTGTCGACAAAGACAGACATAGATCTATAGTAATCAGGATGCTCAAGATGATAAAAACCGGCAATGCCTGGACGACGACTCATTAAAGCAAATTCAGGTTGGATACCGAGCTTATTCGGATTGAAATCCTTGCCATCATAATCGGCAGAGACTTTTTTGGTCACGTATCGCGCCGTGTAAGCACACGTAGACCACGAGACATCAGAAAGGCATATATTCCCATTACTCCAAATCTCTACAAAATAAGGGCTATAGTAGTAGCTCTGAGCGGCGAAATTTTCGCCAAGAAGAACGGAGTCAGGGAAATCAGAAAGCGAAAGACCGAAAATGATCGCATGATAGTGCGGTCTATGCGTATGATCGCCATACTCGCCGGAAGCGTAGAAGCGTATCTCTCTATCCGGGAAACGACCACGCAACCTTTTAAAGAAGTCCTGAAGATCTTTCTTTCTGAGGGAGCGAATGCCTTTAACCATAGGGACATGAGGTTCATCGTAGGTCAGAGTTGCAAAGACAGCACATTTGGAGTGGTCAAGCTCGATCATCATACGATCAGCCCATGTACGGCTATAATCAAGGCGGCAGCCAATACACTTACCGCAAGGAATGCGAAACTGATCGGAATCATTGGAATCGACAAAGAGGCCTTGCCATTTCTCTAACCGATATTTAAGCTCACCTGTATCAGGGTCAACGATGCGAATCATCTTATGCGGATGGTAGCAGGGGATAAGATCACCTCCTATATTAAGTGACAGAAAAACAAACCTGTCACTCAGCCATACTATATCAAGTAGGAACGTATGGCTGACCGTGAAACGGTTTGCGGTCGCACCGCGACCGATTGGAATCCTAACGGATTCATTGCGGCCTTGGAAGCGGCCGCTAGCGGTAAGATCGCCTAAGGGCGATCTAAATTCTTTCTTACAGAATGTATAAAAATCGCGAAAAGTACATATATCCTATATACCATATATAAGGCAAAGCCTTATATATGAGTATATAGGGTATATGTAGGTAAGAGTAAAATGAGAACGATTCTCATTTAGAGGCATTTGCAAGGATGCGACTCATGGCAGTACCTGCGGAGATACCAGCAAGAGGATTACCAGTACCGATACCGACGGCAAGACCAGTGCCGATACTCATGATAGCAGAGATCAGACCGGCGCCGGAGTTAGCTTCCTTACGAGATCCTCGACCGCCGGAAGATCCGGAAGTCTGAGAAGATTCGACAGGAGTTACATTAGCAGATGCACCAGCTCCACCGGAAGCGGTAAGGACAGGGTTCAAACCGGCAGCTTTAAGATCTGCCATCTCACGTTGATGGGCTGTGTTTGCGAGAGCTTCCTGATATGCAACGTTCTTATTCATCTTATAAGCCTTGGCGAGATCTGCGTTAAGATAAGTGAACTTTGGAGACGAAGGCCGAGCCGGAGGAGAGTAACCGCCTCCTCCTCCGGGAGTGGGAGGAGGAGTCAGAGGAGGCGCAGGAGTATGCTCACCGTACAGGAGATAATCAGGATCCGAGCCAAAAATACCGGATTGAGTACCGAGGACAGGATCACGAGCGTTGGCGGCTTCTTCACTTTCAACGAGATAACCGCCAAAGGACTGAGTTAGATTATTGAAAAATTCATCCATGAATTTACCTCACTTTATATGGCCTGAATACCATTACGCACGCGCACACGCGTGCGTAGAATTCGCACGCGCGCGCACGCGCGCATTGTTATTCAGGTAAATTTTCTTCAGGTATACCAAGAACGATAGATGTCAGGACACTAAGACAACCAGCAAGGGCACAAGTAGAGCAAAGAGTAAGCCAGTCAATGTCAGACAGGAGACTACTAACTCCGATCGAGGCAATAGCAGTTTGAGCGACAGTGCGTAAAGCGCGGCGCAGAGTATAATACCAGAAATCAGGAGGAAACAAAGGACATCACCTCAAAAAGATAGAATTTCGCTCCGCGAAATTAGCCAGTTAAGGCCGGCTCTGTTCGCCCGGCCTTAACCAGCCAATCGCCTGCGGGCGATTGAAAAAAAACTTCTATAAAGGAAAATGCAGGGGGGGGGGGGAACCGCAGCGTCAGTTATGGTCAATGAGACCAGGAATGCTGTACATAGGCATCGGACGAGTCCAGATACTCTTGAAAAAGACGTCGAGCATAATCTGATTGGAGAGCTGAGAGGTAACGGCGAGAGTCCGGTCAACGTTGGACTTATCTTCACGGATCCAAGCATCAGAAAGAGTAGGCTGCTCCGTGTAATAATCGCCAAAATGCCAAGAAGCAAGAGAATTAGGTATACCAGGACGCATCTCGCCAGTTATCATATTGGGCGCGTATCTATATTCCGCCCAGGCTTCTTGATACCCAAAAACGTCGGGATTGGGATTACCATCACAGTACACTTCGGATACAAGGACGGGCTGCTCTCCAATGTTACTGAAGACAGGCAAGAAGAAATCCGTAAAATCGTTACGAGTCCACATACGAGAAAGGCCTTGACTATAAGAATGATCGTAACGCGCGACACACAAACCGATAACGTAGCCATGTTCCGTGAAAGATTTAGAAATGTCCTGATGAATATCAGTTGTATAGCTCATGGCACCAAGGTCACCAAGAAAATCCTGCTCACTCTGAGCAGTGTTAGTGACCTGATGAACCTGAATGGGTATACGATTACCGCCAAGGTATTCGGGAATCTGAAGTCGGGCATCAGGAGAACGGACACCAAAATGGGAAAGGAGAATCTCACGATAACGCGTACCGCCACGAGCATTCCTCTCAAGCATCTTCTGTGCGGCAAAAGCCAAGCGGAGATCATTGATGGAGAGAGGAGAGGTAGAAGCGCCAGGAACGGTTACGATAAGGTTATTAGGCACAAGATAAGGCTCAGTAGTGCCGGACTTATCAGCAGAATTAGCCAAATTGACAATACGATGATTATCAGAAGCGTAATTGAAAAGATACGGGTTCTTAGAGCCAGTACCTGTAGCTTCAACATAAGCCTGAGCAGAAGAATCGTAGTTACTAAAGGTAAACCTCATAGGAATACCGGAAGTATCAGCCCAATCAGCTGCATCACTAGCGGTCATTACAGGGAAAGTGCCGCCGGGAAATTGCGGCAGAGGAACGGAGATCTGTTCACCTTTCTGAGGCTGCGGAAGGCAGCTAGTGAAATAATCATGGTATTTAGCAGCGAGGAAAGGCTTACCGCCATTGGCAACGTCGTTGATATAATCGGATCCATTAGATCCATGCTGCAACGCATCACCAAGAGGAATGTTAAGCGGATCCGTCAAATTCTCGTCTCTAAAAAACTCATTGCAAATCAGGCCATAAGCTCTGAAAGGTAAAGAAGTAGGATAATGACGATAATCGGGATGATCAGGATCGCCAGCATTAAATTCTACACCGACAGGGAGGCCAAGGTAATCGGCAATCGTGCCGGAAGCGAAACCACCTTCAGGGGGAGCGATTTTAGGCATAGAATAAGTGGTGTCAGGCGCCCAAGCGGAATCCTTATTCTCACCACAGAACTCTTGCCAATGAGACCATACGAGGCGATTCGGAATAAAGAAAAAATAGGTGTCCAAATAAAGATTCGAAAACGGAGGAGTAAGAAGAGTCTGAAGCCGAACGACTTTAGAAGAGGTAAGGTTAAGGGTATCACCGGGGAGAACTTCCTGACAGAAAACCGGGACAAGCTCACCAACGTTAAAGGTAGTCAAATGGTCAAAGTCACGGTTGAAGATAGAACGCTGAATGTCTACGGAAGGAAGCTGACTAAAATGGGATTCTACGTTACGATTCAACTTTATTCACCTCAACTTTAGAAATAAGATCAGTGGCAGCCTCGACAGAATCAGAAATAGAAGAAATAACTTCAGAAGGACGAGAAACCTTTTCAAGGCCGGGAAGGAAAGCGGACATGGATTCAATCCAAGAATCAGTTCCGATAGAAGAAAGCCATTTATTCAAGTCAAAATCAAACTTAGCGCGTGTGTCCTTAGGCAAACGGTTAAAGACCATCTCACCATCGATAGCCAACTGAAGATATTCAGCCATATTCGTAGGCATAGCAGAAAAATCACCGAAAGTACCGTGCTTAACGTTTAGAACGGACTGATCGCCGAGCTTAAGACGTGCAAGAATGTAACTCATATCAGTGGTAGACCTCAGGGAGTTATACTTAGCCTGAAGATCTATAGAATCAGACTGCACAACGCTGATAGTACCATCAGCGCGAACGGCAGAAGAATAGACAGGGGCAAAACGGTCACCGGGATTAGAGACAAAAAAAGCCGGGTCGGAAACGGCAGAGCCTTTAATTCTCATAAACGGACTCCTTCAGCACAAAGGCATCAGATCCGGAGCAGAGGTACACGGGAGAATCAAGGTTAGAAAGCTTACCGGAATCAGAATCATAAGTGCCAATACGGTACAAAGAATAATCAGAAGGGGAAAAAGCGATAATCCCCTGACTATTGGAGCAGGCAAAAAGGAAATTGCGCTTGGCAGACTCATCGTTAATGTCTTCAGTAGGAAGCATCCACCCAGTTTTAGAATCACGAACGGCATAAAGGGATTTAAGCATCAGTAATATCCTCCAATATAGTTTTAAGACCGCGCAACTGCACCTCAAGAGATACAAGCGACTGAATAGTTAGGAGCTGAGAGTCAGAAAGATCCTCAACGAAAATCTCAAGGAAATCATACAAAGAATCAGACTTCAAAAACGGATACCTCCTCTATAAGCGGTAGTACCAAGGTTGACAGACTTCACACTGGAAGCGGTTCGGGTGAAAACCTTCTTATCCTTATGCTGTTTGACCGGAGCACGCACTAAAAATCACCTCTCTTAAGTAGATCAACTTTTTCAAGCTGCTTACGCTGCTTAAGGTTATTATACCATATAAGGTCAAGGTCAGTGTCAGAAAGCTCAAGAAGATCCTTATCAGATCCAAACTTTCGGCGTTCTTCCTTCAATCGTTGGAAAAGAGCCGGATCAGAATCAGATAAATGGTCAAAAACGTAATGAGGGATCCTAACGCGTTTAATTCCATCGGAACCAGGCACATCCTTTCCATTGTCGACAAAGACAGACATAGATCTATAGTAATCAGGATGCTCAAGATGATAAAAACCGGCAATGCCTGGACGACGACTCATTAAAGCAAATTCAGGTTGGATACCGAGCTTATTCGGATTGAAATCCTTGCCATCATAATCGGCAGAGACTTTTTTGGTCACGTATCGCGCCGTGTAAGCACACGTAGACCACGAGACATCAGAAAGGCATATATTCCCATTACTCCAAATCTCTACAAAATAAGGGCTATAGTAGTAGCTCTGAGCGGCGAAATTTTCGCCAAGAAGAACGGAGTCAGGGAAATCAGAAAGCGAAAGACCGAAAATGATCGCATGATAGTGCGGTCTATGCGTATGATCGCCATACTCGCCGGAAGCGTAGAAGCGTATCTCTCTATCCGGGAAACGACCACGCAACCTTTTAAAGAAGTCCTGAAGATCTTTCTTTCTGAGGGAGCGAATGCCTTTAACCATAGGGACATGAGGTTCATCGTAGGTCAGAGTTGCAAAGACAGCACATTTGGAGTGGTCAAGCTCGATCATCATACGATCAGCCCATGTACGGCTATAATCAAGGCGGCAGCCAATACACTTACCGCAAGGAATGCGAAACTGATCGGAATCATTGGAATCGACAAAGAGGCCTTGCCATTTCTCTAACCGATATTTAAGCTCACCTGTATCAGGGTCAACGATGCGAATCATCTTATGCGGATGGTAGCAGGGGATAAGATCACCTCCTATATTAAGTGACAGAAAAACAAACCTGTCACTCAGCCATACTATATCAAGTAGGAACGTATGGCTGACCGTGAAACGGTTTGCGGTCGCACCGCGACCGATTGGAATCCTAACGGATTCATTGCGGCCTTGGAAGCGGCCGCTAGCGGTAAGATCGCCTAAGGGCGATCTAAATTCTTTCTTACAGAATGTATAAAAATCGCGAAAAGTACATATATCCTATATACCATATATAAGGCAAAGCCTTATATATGAGTATATAGGGTATATGTAGGTAAGAGTAAAATGAGAACGATTCTCATTTAGAGGCATTTGCAAGGATGCGACTCATGGCAGTACCTGCGGAGATACCAGCAAGAGGATTACCAGTACCGATACCGACGGCAAGACCAGTGCCGATACTCATGATAGCAGAGATCAGACCGGCGCCGGAGTTAGCTTCCTTACGAGATCCTCGACCGCCGGAAGATCCGGAAGTCTGAGAAGATTCGACAGGAGTTACATTAGCAGATGCACCAGCTCCACCGGAAGCGGTAAGGACAGGGTTCAAACCGGCAGCTTTAAGATCTGCCATCTCACGTTGATGGGCTGTGTTTGCGAGAGCTTCCTGATATGCAACGTTCTTATTCATCTTATAAGCCTTGGCGAGATCTGCGTTAAGATAAGTGAACTTTGGAGACGAAGGCCGAGCCGGAGGAGAGTAACCGCCTCCTCCTCCGGGAGTGGGAGGAGGAGTCAGAGGAGGCGCAGGAGTATGCTCACCGTACAGGAGATAATCAGGATCCGAGCCAAAAATACCGGATTGAGTACCGAGGACAGGATCACGAGCGTTGGCGGCTTCTTCACTTTCAACGAGATAACCGCCAAAGGACTGAGTTAGATTATTGAAAAATTCATCCATGAATTTACCTCACTTTATATGGCCTGAATACCATTACGCACGCGCACACGCGTGCGTAGAATTCGCACGCGCGCGCACGCGCGCATTGTTATTCAGGTAAATTTTCTTCAGGTATACCAAGAACGATAGATGTCAGGACACTAAGACAACCAGCAAGGGCACAAGTAGAGCAAAGAGTAAGCCAGTCAATGTCAGACAGGAGACTACTAACTCCGATCGAGGCAATAGCAGTTTGAGCGACAGTGCGTAAAGCGCGGCGCAGAGTATAATACCAGAAATCAGGAGGAAACAAAGGACATCACCTCAAAAAGATAGAATTTCGCTCCGCGAAATTAGCCAGTTAAGGCCGGCTCTGTTCGCCCGGCCTTAACCAGCCAATCGCCTGCGGGCGATTGAAAAAAAACTTCTATAAAGGAAAAGTTGCAGGGGGGGGGGGAACCGCAGCGTCAGTTATGGTCAATGAGACCAGGAATGCTGTACATAGGCATCGGACGAGTCCAGATACTCTTGAAAAAGACGTCGAGCATAATCTGATTGGAGAGCTGAGAGGTAACGGCGAGAGTCCGGTCAACGTTGGACTTATCTTCACGGATCCAAGCATCAGAAAGAGTAGGCTGCTCCGTGTAATAATCGCCAAAATGCCAAGAAGCAAGAGAATTAGGTATACCAGGACGCATCTCGCCAGTTATCATATTGGGCGCGTATCTATATTCCGCCCAGGCTTCTTGATACCCAAAAACGTCGGGATTGGGATTACCATCACAGTACACTTCGGATACAAGGACGGGCTGCTCTCCAATGTTACTGAAGACAGGCAAGAAGAAATCCGTAAAATCGTTACGAGTCCACATACGAGAAAGGCCTTGACTATAAGAATGATCGTAACGCGCGACACACAAACCGATAACGTAGCCATGTTCCGTGAAAGATTTAGAAATGTCCTGATGAATATCAGTTGTATAGCTCATGGCACCAAGGTCACCAAGAAAATCCTGCTCACTCTGAGCAGTGTTAGTGACCTGATGAACCTGAATGGGTATACGATTACCGCCAAGGTATTCGGGAATCTGAAGTCGGGCATCAGGAGAACGGACACCAAAATGGGAAAGGAGAATCTCACGATAACGCGTACCGCCACGAGCATTCCTCTCAAGCATCTTCTGTGCGGCAAAAGCCAAGCGGAGATCATTGATGGAGAGAGGAGAGGTAGAAGCGCCAGGAACGGTTACGATAAGGTTATTAGGCACAAGATAAGGCTCAGTAGTGCCGGACTTATCAGCAGAATTAGCCAAATTGACAATACGATGATTATCAGAAGCGTAATTGAAAAGATACGGGTTCTTAGAGCCAGTACCTGTAGCTTCAACATAAGCCTGAGCAGAAGAATCGTAGTTACTAAAGGTAAACCTCATAGGAATACCGGAAGTATCAGCCCAATCAGCTGCATCACTAGCGGTCATTACAGGGAAAGTGCCGCCGGGAAATTGCGGCAGAGGAACGGAGATCTGTTCACCTTTCTGAGGCTGCGGAAGGCAGCTAGTGAAATAATCATGGTATTTAGCAGCGAGGAAAGGCTTACCGCCATTGGCAACGTCGTTGATATAATCGGATCCATTAGATCCATGCTGCAACGCATCACCAAGAGGAATGTTAAGCGGATCCGTCAAATTCTCGTCTCTAAAAAACTCATTGCAAATCAGGCCATAAGCTCTGAAAGGTAAAGAAGTAGGATAATGACGATAATCGGGATGATCAGGATCGCCAGCATTAAATTCTACACCGACAGGGAGGCCAAGGTAATCGGCAATCGTGCCGGAAGCGAAACCACCTTCAGGGGGAGCGATTTTAGGCATAGAATAAGTGGTGTCAGGCGCCCAAGCGGAATCCTTATTCTCACCACAGAACTCTTGCCAATGAGACCATACGAGGCGATTCGGAATAAAGAAAAAATAGGTGTCCAAATAAAGATTCGAAAACGGAGGAGTAAGAAGAGTCTGAAGCCGAACGACTTTAGAAGAGGTAAGGTTAAGGGTATCACCGGGGAGAACTTCCTGACAGAAAACCGGGACAAGCTCACCAACGTTAAAGGTAGTCAAATGGTCAAAGTCACGGTTGAAGATAGAACGCTGAATGTCTACGGAAGGAAGCTGACTAAAATGGGATTCTACGTTACGATTCAACTTTATTCACCTCAACTTTAGAAATAAGATCAGTGGCAGCCTCGACAGAATCAGAAATAGAAGAAATAACTTCAGAAGGACGAGAAACCTTTTCAAGGCCGGGAAGGAAAGCGGACATGGATTCAATCCAAGAATCAGTTCCGATAGAAGAAAGCCATTTATTAAAGTCAAAATCAAACTTAGCGCGTGTGTCCTTAGGCAAACGGTTAAAGACCATCTCACCATCGATAGCCAACTGAAGATATTCAGCCATATTCGTAGGCATAGCAGAAAAATCACCGAAAGTACCGTGCTTAACGTTTAGAACGGACTGATCGCCGAGCTTAAGACGTGCAAGAATGTAACTCATATCAGTGGTAGACCTCAGGGAGTTATACTTAGCCTGAAGATCTATAGAATCAGACTGCACAACGCTGATAGTACCATCAGCGCGAACGGCAGAAGAATAGACAGGGGCAAAACGGTCACCGGGATTAGAGACAAAAAAAGCCGGGTCGGAAACGGCAGAGCCTTTAATTCTCATAAACGGACTCCTTCAGCACAAAGGCATCAGATCCGGAGCAGAGGTACACGGGAGAATCAAGGTTAGAAAGCTTACCGGAATCAGAATCATAAGTGCCAATACGGTACAAAGAATAATCAGAAGGGGAAAAAGCGATAATCCCCTGACTATTGGAGCAGGCAAAAAGGAAATTGCGCTTGGCAGACTCATCGTTAATGTCTTCAGTAGGAAGCATCCACCCAGTTTTAGAATCACGAACGGCATAAAGGGATTTAAGCATCAGTAATATCCTCCAATATAGTTTTAAGACCGCGCAACTGCACCTCAAGAGATACAAGCGACTGAATAGTTAGGAGCTGAGAGTCAGAAAGATCCTCAACGAAAATCTCAAGGAAATCATACAAAGAATCAGACTTCAAAAACGGATACCTCCTCTATAAGCGGTAGTACCAAGGTTGACAGACTTCACACTGGAAGCGGTTCGGGTGAAAACCTTCTTATCCTTATGCTGTTTGACCGGAGCACGCACTAAAAATCACCTCTCTTAAGTAGATCAACTTTTTCAAGCTGCTTACGCTGCTTAAGGTTATTATACCATATAAGGTCAAGGTCAGTGTCAGAAAGCTCAAGAAGATCCTTATCAGATCCAAACTTTCGGCGTTCTTCCTTCAATCGTTGGAAAAGAGCCGGATCAGAATCAGATAAATGGTCAAAAACGTAATGAGGGATCCTAACGCGTTTAATTCCATCGGAACCAGGCACATCCTTTCCATTGTCGACAAAGACAGACATAGATCTATAGTAATCAGGATGCTCAAGATGATAAAAACCGGCAATGCCTGGACGACGACTCATTAAAGCAAATTCAGGTTGGATACCGAGCTTATTCGGATTGAAATCCTTGCCATCATAATCGGCAGAGACTTTTTTGGTCACGTATCGCGCCGTGTAAGCACACGTAGACCACGAGACATCAGAAAGGCATATATTCCCATTACTCCAAATCTCTACAAAATAAGGGCTATAGTAGTAGCTCTGAGCGGCGAAATTTTCGCCAAGAAGAACGGAGTCAGGGAAATCAGAAAGCGAAAGACCGAAAATGATCGCATGATAGTGCGGTCTATGCGTATGATCGCCATACTCGCCGGAAGCGTAGAAGCGTATCTCTCTATCCGGGAAACGACCACGCAACCTTTTAAAGAAGTCCTGAAGATCTTTCTTTCTGAGGGAGCGAATGCCTTTAACCATAGGGACATGAGGTTCATCGTAGGTCAGAGTTGCAAAGACAGCACATTTGGAGTGGTCAAGCTCGATCATCATACGATCAGCCCATGTACGGCTATAATCAAGGCGGCAGCCAATACACTTACCGCAAGGAATGCGAAACTGATCGGAATCATTGGAATCGACAAAGAGGCCTTGCCATTTCTCTAACCGATATTTAAGCTCACCTGTATCAGGGTCAACGATGCGAATCATCTTATGCGGATGGTAGCAGGGGATAAGATCACCTCCTATATTAAGTGACAGAAAAACAAACCTGTCACTCAGCCATACTATATCAAGTAGGAACGTATGGCTGACCGTGAAACGGTTTGCGGTCGCACCGCGACCGATTGGAATCCTAACGGATTCATTGCGGCCTTGGAAGCGGCCGCTAGCGGTAAGATCGCCTAAGGGCGATCTAAATTCTTTCTTACAGAATGTATAAAAATCGCGAAAAGTACATATATCCTATATACCATATATAAGGCAAAGCCTTATATATGAGTATATAGGGTATATGTAGGTAAGAGTAAAATGAGAACGATTCTCATTTAGAGGCATTTGCAAGGATGCGACTCATGGCAGTACCTGCGGAGATACCAGCAAGAGGATTACCAGTACCGATACCGACGGCAAGACCAGTGCCGATACTCATGATAGCAGAGATCAGACCGGCGCCGGAGTTAGCTTCCTTACGAGATCCTCGACCGCCGGAAGATCCGGAAGTCTGAGAAGATTCGACAGGAGTTACATTAGCAGATGCACCAGCTCCACCGGAAGCGGTAAGGACAGGGTTCAAACCGGCAGCTTTAAGATCTGCCATCTCACGTTGATGGGCTGTGTTTGCGAGAGCTTCCTGATATGCAACGTTCTTATTCATCTTATAAGCCTTGGCGAGATCTGCGTTAAGATAAGTGAACTTTGGAGACGAAGGCCGAGCCGGAGGAGAGTAACCGCCTCCTCCTCCGGGAGTGGGAGGAGGAGTCAGAGGAGGCGCAGGAGTATGCTCACCGTACAGGAGATAATCAGGATCCGAGCCAAAAATACCGGATTGAGTACCGAGGACAGGATCACGAGCGTTGGCGGCTTCTTCACTTTCAACGAGATAACCGCCAAAGGACTGAGTTAGATTATTGAAAAATTCATCCATGAATTTACCTCACTTTATATGGCCTGAATACCATTACGCACGCGCACACGCGTGCGTAGAATTCGCACGCGCGCGCACGCGCGCATTGTTATTCAGGTAAATTTTCTTCAGGTATACCAAGAACGATAGATGTCAGGACACTAAGACAACCAGCAAGGGCACAAGTAGAGCAAAGAGTAAGCCAGTCAATGTCAGACAGGAGACTACTAACTCCGATCGAGGCAATAGCAGTTTGAGCGACAGTGCGTAAAGCGCGGCGCAGAGTATAATACCAGAAATCAGGAGGAAACAAAGGACATCACCTCAAAAAGATAGAATTTCGCTCCGCGAAATTAGCCAGTTAAGGCCGGCTCTGTTCGCCCGGCCTTAACCAGCCAATCGCCTGCGGGCGATTGAAAAAAAACTTCTATAAAGGAAAAGTTGCAGGGGGGGGGGGAACCGCAGCGTCAGTTATGGTCAATGAGACCAGGAATGCTGTACATAGGCATCGGACGAGTCCAGATACTCTTGAAAAAGACGTCGAGCATAATCTGATTGGAGAGCTGAGAGGTAACGGCGAGAGTCCGGTCAACGTTGGACTTATCTTCACGGATCCAAGCATCAGAAAGAGTAGGCTGCTCCGTGTAATAATCGCCAAAATGCCAAGAAGCAAGAGAATTAGGTATACCAGGACGCATCTCGCCAGTTATCATATTGGGCGCGTATCTATATTCCGCCCAGGCTTCTTGATACCCAAAAACGTCGGGATTGGGATTACCATCACAGTACACTTCGGATACAAGGACGGGCTGCTCTCCAATGTTACTGAAGACAGGCAAGAAGAAATCCGTAAAATCGTTACGAGTCCACATACGAGAAAGGCCTTGACTATAAGAATGATCGTAACGCGCGACACACAAACCGATAACGTAGCCATGTTCCGTGAAAGATTTAGAAATGTCCTGATGAATATCAGTTGTATAGCTCATGGCACCAAGGTCACCAAGAAAATCCTGCTCACTCTGAGCAGTGTTAGTGACCTGATGAACCTGAATGGGTATACGATTACCGCCAAGGTATTCGGGAATCTGAAGTCGGGCATCAGGAGAACGGACACCAAAATGGGAAAGGAGAATCTCACGATAACGCGTACCGCCACGAGCATTCCTCTCAAGCATCTTCTGTGCGGCAAAAGCCAAGCGGAGATCATTGATGGAGAGAGGAGAGGTAGAAGCGCCAGGAACGGTTACGATAAGGTTATTAGGCACAAGATAAGGCTCAGTAGTGCCGGACTTATCAGCAGAATTAGCCAAATTGACAATACGATGATTATCAGAAGCGTAATTGAAAAGATACGGGTTCTTAGAGCCAGTACCTGTAGCTTCAACATAAGCCTGAGCAGAAGAATCGTAGTTACTAAAGGTAAACCTCATAGGAATACCGGAAGTATCAGCCCAATCAGCTGCATCACTAGCGGTCATTACAGGGAAAGTGCCGCCGGGAAATTGCGGCAGAGGAACGGAGATCTGTTCACCTTTCTGAGGCTGCGGAAGGCAGCTAGTGAAATAATCATGGTATTTAGCAGCGAGGAAAGGCTTACCGCCATTGGCAACGTCGTTGATATAATCGGATCCATTAGATCCATGCTGCAACGCATCACCAAGAGGAATGTTAAGCGGATCCGTCAAATTCTCGTCTCTAAAAAACTCATTGCAAATCAGGCCATAAGCTCTGAAAGGTAAAGAAGTAGGATAATGACGATAATCGGGATGATCAGGATCGCCAGCATTAAATTCTACACCGACAGGGAGGCCAAGGTAATCGGCAATCGTGCCGGAAGCGAAACCACCTTCAGGGGGAGCGATTTTAGGCATAGAATAAGTGGTGTCAGGCGCCCAAGCGGAATCCTTATTCTCACCACAGAACTCTTGCCAATGAGACCATACGAGGCGATTCGGAATAAAGAAAAAATAGGTGTCCAAATAAAGATTCGAAAACGGAGGAGTAAGAAGAGTCTGAAGCCGAACGACTTTAGAAGAGGTAAGGTTAAGGGTATCACCGGGGAGAACTTCCTGACAGAAAACCGGGACAAGCTCACCAACGTTAAAGGTAGTCAAATGGTCAAAGTCACGGTTGAAGATAGAACGCTGAATGTCTACGGAAGGAAGCTGACTAAAATGGGATTCTACGTTACGATTCAACTTTATTCACCTCAACTTTAGAAATAAGATCAGTGGCAGCCTCGACAGAATCAGAAATAGAAGAAATAACTTCAGAAGGACGAGAAACCTTTTCAAGGCCGGGAAGGAAAGCGGACATGGATTCAATCCAAGAATCAGTTCCGATAGAAGAAAGCCATTTATTCAAGTCAAAATCAAACTTAGCGCGTGTGTCCTTAGGCAAACGGTTAAAGACCATCTCACCATCGATAGCCAACTGAAGATATTCAGCCATATTCGTAGGCATAGCAGAAAAATCACCGAAAGTACCGTGCTTAACGTTTAGAACGGACTGATCGCCGAGCTTAAGACGTGCAAGAATGTAACTCATATCAGTGGTAGACCTCAGGGAGTTATACTTAGCCTGAAGATCTATAGAATCAGACTGCACAACGCTGATAGTACCATCAGCGCGAACGGCAGAAGAATAGACAGGGGCAAAACGGTCACCGGGATTAGAGACAAAAAAAGCCGGGTCGGAAACGGCAGAGCCTTTAATTCTCATAAACGGACTCCTTCAGCACAAAGGCATCAGATCCGGAGCAGAGGTACACGGGAGAATCAAGGTTAGAAAGCTTACCGGAATCAGAATCATAAGTGCCAATACGGTACAAAGAATAATCAGAAGGGGAAAAAGCGATAATCCCCTGACTATTGGAGCAGGCAAAAAGGAAATTGCGCTTGGCAGACTCATCGTTAATGTCTTCAGTAGGAAGCATCCACCCAGTTTTAGAATCACGAACGGCATAAAGGGATTTAAGCATCAGTAATATCCTCCAATATAGTTTTAAGACCGCGCAACTGCACCTCAAGAGATACAAGCGACTGAATAGTTAGGAGCTGAGAGTCAGAAAGATCCTCAACGAAAATCTCAAGGAAATCATACAAAGAATCAGACTTCAAAAACGGATACCTCCTCTATAAGCGGTAGTACCAAGGTTGACAGACTTCACACTGGAAGCGGTTCGGGTGAAAACCTTCTTATCCTTATGCTGTTTGACCGGAGCACGCACTAAAAATCACCTCTCTTAAGTAGATCAACTTTTTCAAGCTGCTTACGCTGCTTAAGGTTATTATACCATATAAGGTCAAGGTCAGTGTCAGAAAGCTCAAGAAGATCCTTATCAGATCCAAACTTTCGGCGTTCTTCCTTCAATCGTTGGAAAAGAGCCGGATCAGAATCAGATAAATGGTCAAAAACGTAATGAGGGATCCTAACGCGTTTAATTCCATCGGAACCAGGCACATCCTTTCCATTGTCGACAAAGACAGACATAGATCTATAGTAATCAGGATGCTCAAGATGATAAAAACCGGCAATGCCTGGACGACGACTCATTAAAGCAAATTCAGGTTGGATACCGAGCTTATTCGGATTGAAATCCTTGCCATCATAATCGGCAGAGACTTTTTTGGTCACGTATCGCGCCGTGTAAGCACACGTAGACCACGAGACATCAGAAAGGCATATATTCCCATTACTCCAAATCTCTACAAAATAAGGGCTATAGTAGTAGCTCTGAGCGGCGAAATTTTCGCCAAGAAGAACGGAGTCAGGGAAATCAGAAAGCGAAAGACCGAAAATGATCGCATGATAGTGCGGTCTATGCGTATGATCGCCATACTCGCCGGAAGCGTAGAAGCGTATCTCTCTATCCGGGAAACGACCACGCAACCTTTTAAAGAAGTCCTGAAGATCTTTCTTTCTGAGGGAGCGAATGCCTTTAACCATAGGGACATGAGGTTCATCGTAGGTCAGAGTTGCAAAGACAGCACATTTGGAGTGGTCAAGCTCGATCATCATACGATCAGCCCATGTACGGCTATAATCAAGGCGGCAGCCAATACACTTACCGCAAGGAATGCGAAACTGATCGGAATCATTGGAATCGACAAAGAGGCCTTGCCATTTCTCTAACCGATATTTAAGCTCACCTGTATCAGGGTCAACGATGCGAATCATCTTATGCGGATGGTAGCAGGGGATAAGATCACCTCCTATATTAAGTGACAGAAAAACAAACCTGTCACTCAGCCATACTATATCAAGTAGGAACGTATGGCTGACCGTGAAACGGTTTGCGGTCGCACCGCGACCGATTGGAATCCTAACGGATTCATTGCGGCCTTGGAAGCGGCCGCTAGCGGTAAGATCGCCTAAGGGCGATCTAAATTCTTTCTTACAGAATGTATAAAAATCGCGAAAAGTACATATATCCTATATACCATATATAAGGCAAAGCCTTATATATGAGTATA